TTAGGAAATTTTCCCCTCCTTCCCCATAATCCAGATAAATGGTATCCACTCTAGCTGTCCTGCCTACTCAGAGCTGCCAAGCACATTTATCTTGCCTAATCTTCTTTTCCAGGATCCATGCTGACTCCCCTTAAGCAATTACATATATCTAAATGTTCTGTGTGCATAATTGCTCTCCATGCATTTTCTGCTGCTGAGATCAGATTTACAAGCCCACAGTGTTCTCAATCTTCTTCTCCTCCTTCTGCTTCTATTAGATGCTCACTGGTGCCTAATGCTGTGCTTTGTCCTTTAATAAATTATGAGTAAAACACACACTTTAGAAAGAAAAAGTCAAAATAGCCACCATTAAGACTCAAGAAGGGAAACATTCTAAGTTGGTTCAGTGATCTCACCCAGCCTAGAGGCCTTTTCTTTCCTCTAGGCTTTCTTACTTCCCTGGCCAGGGGGAAGCCAGAGGGGCAGGAGGGCTGAGCTCCTCATCCACAGTGTGTCCCCAGCTGACAGGGGAGGGACAGTGACCACGGGCACTGGGGAAAAGGCCCAGGGAGGTTTCCCACAGCTGTTCCCCCTGAACCCATCCCAGAACTGGCCCCACACTGCAGCAAGCCCAGCCCAGGGCAAGGGGCTGCAGGGCCAGTGGCTCCCTCAGGGCCTGACATGTGTCTGCAGTGTACCCTGGTGGTCTGAATCATGCCTCTGAGCCTTTCACTCCACTGTTAAGAACATGAGCTTGTGTTTTTCACATCAGTTCAGTATTTGTTCTGTTTCCTGCATTGCCCCTTGCAGTCATTCATTTCCATACTCTGAGCTTTCTGTTTTTATCTCTTCCTACTGGAAGTTCTCTTCAAAAATGAAAGAAGAAGGAGACCAATCATAACATGACATCTGAAACTAAAACAAAAATAAAAGAAAGCCCGGATACAAAGGTATTTTGCTGAACTTCCATTCAACTCCACCTGTATTGCCCCAAAGAAAGGAAGAGATGAGAGTCCTTTGCTGTGTTTTGGGAAAGGCTCAGAGCCAGTGTTTTCACAGTCCCCTTCCTTTTGTCTGGACTCGTTGTTAATAAACCTTTCTCTTCTTTTCCTCTACATGAGTTTAACATTATCCTCCAGAAATCCTCTAGATCTGTGGGGTATGCAGGCACTGACAGGAGTGCCCCCATGTCACAGCTGGGTGAATCAGGTTTCTGGAAGCTGAAGGAGCTGGACTTGTCTCCTGATGAACAAAGGAGAGCAGTTCTCAGCGTGAGGGTCACTGGGCTGGGGTAGGAGCAGTGGCTTTGGGGATCTCATCAGGTCCATCCCCTGTGATTGCACTGACTGCCTGACTGCAGTGAAAAGATTTGGAACTTAACTGCTGCACTCTTTGATACCAATTTGAATTACAGTATCCCCAACAGAGTACTATCAAAACTTAAAAATACATGGAAGTCCATAATCTGTATCCTTATTCACCTCTCATCAAGGTACTCCCAAGCACTGATGCTTAGAAGTTTTATCCTGTACTTAAATGTAAGCATGGGAAGGAACCCTACTGAAATCAGTGAAACATTAAGCACAGAGAGAAATCTTTTCTGTAATAGTTTTCTTAATGTAATTCCTAATCCCTGCTGCCTACACATTTTTTCTTTTCCATACCTATTAATGACATTTTTTCATGCTGGCAAATGCCCTATGACATTACACAGCAGTCATTATTTTGGAAGTCAGTGTCACTGAGCAGTCAATCCTACTCAAGAGACCTCTTTCAGGTTATAAAGGAGCCATTTCAGACAGAAGTCTCACTTCTCTAAGGTTTTAATTAAATACTAGCTCAGGCAAGCAACTGAATAAAGCTGTTATAAAGTAAACAAGCAACACTGCAAAGCCACAAGTTCCCTGACCTCAAAGCTGCAACTCAGGGGGCCTCAAGACAGCACTAAGCTCATCATTCAATGCATCTCTCAAGTCCAAAAGCTCATCAAACCCAGTGGATATTGTAGGAGGCTATATATTTTCATCTTGTTTTACAGTTCATTTAAGTTCCTGCTATACTGTAATTGCTAATGCACAAGCAGTTTTGTATGTGAGGGACTGGTTGTAAAGTAAACACATGAAGGAAGTAGCTTAAATGAAGATGTGCCACTTAAAATAACATTCAGTTTCAATTTAATTACAGAGTATGTGGAATCAGAATAGTTAAAACTTGGATAATTTATGTCATTAGTGAGTTAAGGTAAAACAGCCTCATGCACATTAGGGCAGAAATGACTGATATCATGGGAGATTGTGTTACCTGCCCTACCAGGTGCCCCCCAGGCACAAGTCACAGCTCTGCAGGTACATCCAGGTGCTCTGGAGCAGTTGTTGTTCCCCTGCTGCCATCCTGCTCTCCACAAGCAGGTGCTTCCTGAGCCTCCTGGAGAGACATGCAGTCCCTTCAGACACAACCAACCAAATTTCCTCAAATTACTTGTGGTTGTAAAGGATGACAAAAGTCAGAAGGCCTGCAAAAGCTCATCAAGTTTTATTAGTGAATTACACACTTGGCATGGAAATTGATACCAGTTAGTCCCTGACCTCCTATATAAGCACATGGCAGGGGTTTTGCATAAAGGAGTAGGGTGAAAGGAAAGAGATGAATTAAAGAGAGGCAGAGACGGAAAAAGGGAGATCACCAGTCCTGGCTCCAGTGCTGCTCCAGCTGATGTGCCCTGAGTCCTGGGCCTGGTGGGGATACCTTTCTCTAGATAAGTTTTCCCTGCCCTAGAGATGAGTTCCTCACTTTCTATGCAAATTAATTACCCTGCAGTCCCTTTTCCTAAACCTTTCTAGAAATGGGTCAGAGAGCTTTGGAGTCTTTTTGAAAACTATACACCCACTTCTAGGTCACACTCCCATGCTTGTGCTCTCTGTGTTGTGCTGATGTCCAGCAGCCAGAACAAGGACACTTGTCCCAGCAAAGTGCTGCCCAACCCCTGTGTGGCCCTTGGCTGGCTCTGCAACCGTCCTGCTATTGGTGTTTGAGACACACATCAGCTCCTGCTCTGCTGGGCTTCCACAGCATCATCCCCAGCCTGCACAGAAAATGACACTTTACAACCAGTGACTTTTTTCCTTTATGCCCACTGCTGACAGACAGCAGTGAATAAATGAGTATGAACTTCCAACAACCCTCACATGGGGACAGGAGCAGGACTCTGTATGCCATACTTCACAAGCACTAACCTGGCAGAAACTGGCACTGCTTCTGTAAAAGAGGCCATGGTTTCCTCCCAACACCAGGACTGTGTCTCATGCAAGCACAACTGTTTTGACCTTAAAAGTTCTTGGGCCCTTGTGGATGAACACAAACACCTCCAGTGTCATGGAGCCAGAAACAAAAAGGGAAGAGTATAAGAAGTTATTTCAACAGCAGCCTATCTTTAAAGTGACTGGAAAATGACAGTGTTAGTTCCACTGCCTCTTGCAGTATTTATTGGTGCTGTCTTAGACTTCTATAACCGAAGGAGGGAAATGTCATCCAAGGTGTCTGTCCAGTAGCAAAATGCCTCAAGACTGCAGTCTCCAAGGGGGATGCTGAGGACATGGATCCCCTCCGACAGGGTACAACTGGATAATGAGACTTACTTGCTCAGTGTGGGAAAAGAAGATGAAATATTTTAATTTTGTCCTCCCAGTAAAATACCCAACTCTTCTCACTTGGGAGAGAAGTCATCCTTTTTTCACTCCTGGTCAAACTGCTCTCTGCAAGGGAAAGGGACATAGAATCTTCCTGATGCAGCCCTGAGGTCCAAGATGTTTCAGGGCTCACATTTTCAACACCTTCTGCATCTTTGGTGTGTACATTTATCACATCTCCAAGGCAGTGACACTGACAGAGAAACTGATCCAATCTAATCCAAGTCCAGAAATAATTACTGAATTAAAGAAGGAAATATCTCCAGCATTGAAAGGGCACACAGATTTCAAGAAGAATTGCAAACAATTCTGATTCAGATAAACAAATCCTGATGGTAAAGAAAGAATCAACAACTGTTTCTCATGCTGGCAATATATATTTATTGTCATTTTGGAGATAGGTTACCATGTGTGTATCAGGACTTCAGACTAAAACAGATTGGGATTATGACTTCTTAGCATATGCCAGTTGAAATGAAATGACTGAATGTAAAGCTCACCCTTACAAGACCTTCATTGGTCTATTTTTGCATGTGTCTCCCCCACACACTTAAAGAAAAAAAATCTGAACATCTTTCCCTCCCCTTCATTTCAGCCTCAGAAAAACAAATGACCATCCAACTGGACCTTTTACTAGCTTTATAATAATCTTCTAGCAATATCAGAACATTGATATTGTGGATTCTACAACTTCAAAACAAAGCAAAGCCTTATGATGTTCTTCCTCCACATTACCTGGCTATTGAGTCCAGCTTTAAAGACTCTCTTATATTAGACTACTGCAGTGCCAGGTCTGACAGTCTGTGCAAAAGCTGCTGCTGTGCTACAAATTATTGAACACTTTCCTCTCCATCTCCCATGTACTGACTAACAAACATCTTCCATTAATTTAACAAGTTGCAAATGCTGTCCTCAAAAAGGGAAGGGAAGGATCAAGATATTTTGTGCTTTCATACAAAAAAACAAACAACCACCCAGAAAAAAATAAAATCCTTCAACTCCAATCCCCCACCCAAAAAAAGCCCAATTGAAAACTATTGGTTGCTCACTGTCCCCACCCTCCCCAAGCTTTTATAAGTCACATGAAAACAAATGCATACAACTTACTGTACAAATACAAAGCTGCAGGCATTCAATGTACAGAACATTCTGAAAATATTTCAAGCATAAAAAGTACACTTGATAATTGCAAAAATAAAGTTTCACTTTTTTAAAAAACATTTTGATCAGAGCTCAGGCAAAACAAACATTTAAGGATTCCTACTTCAGCTTAACTCCCTAAGAACACCATCTTCAGAAATTAAAAACAAAAACCTCAGATTTTTGGTGATAAAGTAACTGACCATGTCTTTTAATGAAGAGAAATGGTATATACAACAATGGCACAGACCTTAAGCATCAACAACATTTCAGCCAAAACTAAGTCAGCAAGTGATTGGAGTCATTCTTAGCATCACACAGTACTCATTACTAAGAACCTCAACCCACCAAGAACAGATAGCAAGTTAGACTGGTATAAATGGAAGGAAAAAATCCATGACATCAAATAGGCTCAGTTTTTGTCACTGAACTTTTTTTAGGCTAAGTTTCACTAGTGCAAGACCATTTGTTTACCCAATTAAATGAAAGCTCATAAATGTCACAATTTAAGAACACTCATACAAAACTATTTTTTTTTCTTTTAAAAAAGTGCCACATACCATACTTTTACTAAAAAAAGTTACAAACTAATGGAAGACTGTCTGTCTCCATCTCTTGTCAACAAGGAAAGGCCAAAGTGATTCTCTGATCCCAGCTCGAAATGGTGTTCTCTGCCCTATCCCCAGCATCTCCAGCTTGGAGCAGTCCAGCTGAGCGTTCTTGGGACGAAGAGCACCCACAACTGGACTGTCAGTAATCTGAAAACAGAAACAGAGACAAAAAAAAAAAAAAAACCCCACAGCAATAAGTAAACAGAAGTGACAGAAAAATATTTGTACATGTACATTAGAACTTTTTTCTTCCCAGCTTTATATATAGGTATGGTTGCCTCCTCCCTTCTGTTTTCTGGGGGTTTCTATGGTTTGGATTTTTTTGCTATTTGCTTTTGTATAGGTAACTTTATTTCACAACCCATCATGCCACGTGAACTGTCTTAAGGCAAGTTTTTCTCACTCTCTTTACTGCTACTATTTGTAGTTTTCCACATTTTATTAATATTTTCACTCTGTATCATCACAAGGTAAGGAATATTCCTGAATGTAAACAGAACCATGTCTTGATCAATAAGAAGACAATCATGTCTTGAAGAGAAATACAATTGAGCAGAAAAAATTAGGACTAAATGCTCTCCATTGCTTTTCTTCCATCTTCCAAGTCACATTTCAGTTCCAGTGTTCACCAATTCATAATCCTTAGAATTTATTTTGTACATAGGTAGAATCTTCTTGACATGTCATATGCCCATCACATGACCAGTATGTCTTTAAGAGTAGTCTCAAGTGTCAATAAAACTGCAGGATGAGTGGTTTAAGCAAAGCAAAAATAATTTGCAGTTCTTAAGTGCATGTACTCAGAAATAAATCTGGGCATTGCACAGCTTTTATAGAGCCCTATCTTCATGTTAAGGTCCTATCAATCTAACATAAAAGTACAGATTTGCTTGTGACTAAGGAGAACACTTCTGCAGAAATACCATTACACTATAGACTGGGAAACTGGTGACTGACTGCATAACTTTCCAAATTCAGCAGGTCAAAGCAGCTGCCTTTGTCCTGAGCTTGATACCAGCCAGTGCCCTCAGCTCCAGAGCTGCTGTGCTGGACATGCACAGCCTGTCCTGAAGGGGAAGCTCACTTGTACAGCCAGTGGGACACCGGCTACTTGTAATAATCAGGCACAGCTCTCTGCCTGCTGGTCCAACAGCACATCACTTACTGGTCTCAAGTGGCTGCTGGGAAGGTTGAAAGCATCAGCAATTGCACAGGCCATCTCATACTTAGTCATCTGTTCATTGCCAGACCAGTGAAAGGTTCCTTTTATTGATGGGTCCTAGAGAAGAAAGAGGAAACAGATGAAAGGAGGCAGTCAGCTGTTCCTCAGGCTAATTCCTGTGCAAGAACTGTGCAGAATTAGCATCCAGCAAGACCCTATCTCAAAAGGCATCTTAGAGCACCTCAGTGGTGTTGTAGAAACATCTGTACCCTTTCAGAGAACCTGAGACTGGAAAACGGTGTTACTTCTACCTGACCTGACTTCACAGACAGTTTGTGTCACAGGAGGGAAAGGAGCTGCCCACCAACCAAGCAAGGTCAAAGAGCTGGGGAGGAGGAACCCAGCTGTTCTGTGATGTTCACTTACTCAAAAACAAAGGCAAAAGACATCACACACATTCTGAATGTTAAACTGCAAACCCTGTACAAGTCCAGTCCATGTTTTTAAAGTTACTGTGTGAAAACATAAAGGTGGCTGTTTGCTGTTTGGTTCTGTTACCTTGCAAAGATTGTAATCTGAAGGTGCTGTGGTGAACAAATACAAGGAAGTGCTTCAGTCCAGGGGCATTGTTTGGCCACTTCAGAGTAGTTAATACAATAAACAAGGGCATCTTTGAGAACTACATTCAACCACATGGGTTTTTTAGTTCAAACTAGCAATTTTAACAGCATATCAGAATAAGTTGGCATTTCTAATTCTCTCCTCTATACCAGGAGACACAAGACAGTTTTCACAAGGTTCTGTCCAATCTCTTTAACCACTTCTGTTCCAAAGACCACAACACCCTCATAATCATGCACAGATCCTGTAACATTACAGCCAGTTCCTCCCTCCCTCCCAGCATTCCAGAAATGCAAATAATCCAGGTGATGTGCAGTTCTCAGTTGTTCAGAAGCAAAGCTGAGAACTCCAACTGTTTTCCCCTTGCACAGGCTCATTTCTTGCCATTCTTACCAACATTCTCTTCTCTGCTAGTTGTCTGCAAACAGCTGCTACATCCTTGACATTGGTAGGAAATCTCTGTTGCCAGTGGTCCATGTTGGCAGATTTATTACTGAACTGCACTTTATCAAACATAACTGTCACAGCACTTTCCTCCAGTCTTTCCACCTCCCCATACAAGACAGGAATCCTAAGTACTGCAGTGTCTAAAAGAAAGAATATTGTAGATCATGGGTGGGTAGCAATGTTGCAGCACAATCTGAAAAATCGAAGTGTTAAGAAATATGCTGATTAAGCATCTACAAATCACAAATAAAATGCAAGCAGTATGTTAGCTCATAGAATATAATTTTAATTTATATCCAAACCAGTTTATAAACACTAAGATTATAGAAATTATTGTATTATTATTATTTATTTTCATTTATGCCATTGATTTCCAGAAAGTTAACAGGTTTTGATTAATTACATAAAGATGCCTGTGTGGGTTAGAACAAAAATTAAAAAATTAAAAATCTTGACTACTCTGTGCAGTTTCTCCAGCACTCCCCTCTGGGTAAGAGCAAGGAGAAAAATTCCCACCAATCCCAGGTCATCATATTTAGGCATAAATTACAAAGATTTTTCACCCATCATGCAGAAGCCTCCTGTAAAAAGGAGGATATTATTTACCAGAAAAAAAATCCCTATGAACCTTGAAATAAATTAAAAGCTTGACAAATAAGGAACAGGTTCACAGAACACAACAGTAAACAATTAGATTCCAGGACAGTGATTTGAAAATTAACAAAATGCAAAGAGAAGCATATTTTATGATGGAATACATCATACTAGTCTATCTCTGTCATGAAGACTCAAAAAGTCTCTGAGGAGAAATCCAAGGCTATGACAAAGTACCTAAAAGTAATAGTTTTGCTGAAAGAGAAAACAAAAAAATTTGACCTGAAATTAGAAGCTGAAGTCATCAAAACATTGCCATTCTTAATATACTTGGAGGAAAATGCTATAGCTACTGGAGAGACAAACAGAAAAAGCTAACACAAATTATTCTCACAGAGAAGTAAACCAGAGTAAGTACTTAGACAAGAAAAACAAATAGAAAACCCAACAAAACACTGATTTCCTGCTGCTCTAGATGCAGTTTTTTGGTCACTCAGCAGATATGCTCTTCTCTTTAAATACTGGTTGAAACATCTATTTTTAACTTCTTTTAAAAATATTCATTTCTTGAGCAGACAACTGCCTTGCTGGTGTTCTCAGCTCTCTGGGATGTGGAGAGGTTCAGCCTCATGACTAACAGCTCTGAGCACCTCCTGACACTGTGAGGTTCTCTAAGCATGACTTTATGCATATATATTTGTAAGTATGTATCCCCTTCTAACCAAAGTAAAGTATCTTGAAAAAAAAAAAAGTTAAAACCATTTACTGGAGATTTTTCCATCTTACAACAGAAATGGACAGGGCAGTTCTTCACAGTTAGATCTGACCAATGGAATTCCACCTACTCTGTATCAGTAAATTAGTGGTTGGAACACCAGGACATGGAAAATACTTGTATTTGTATGAATCAAGAGCACTCATCTTTTCAAACCCTTTACTCATCACCACCTCAACACTCCACTGCTGCAAACACTGCTGCCTGACAGATCCTGCTCCAAAAGGTTACGAAACCAAACTGCAGTGCTGAGCTGGGGGAAGGCTCTAGCAGGATACCCACACATCCCTGCATTTGGTAAACTCTTATCTTCATTGCCAGTGTACAACAGGCAGCAAACAGCATCATAGTCAAATTCAGAGATGGTATTTAACCTAGAGATGGAGTGAATAACTTGTCATTTACATTTATTTTCACTTAAATGAGACCTTTCCTATCAAAAGTATTTTTTTTACAAAGTTTGTTTCTTACTATAATGCCAAATCCATCATACACAGCATATGTTTACTTACTGGAAGACCACCACACTAATTTATCAATAGCTTGGTTCTCTGGTTGGGAAGCACAGAACCACAGTGTGAGTATCAGAAGCCTGTTCTGCATGTGTACTGCAATTACTTTCTTCAGATCTTTTGATAAAATACAAGTGCTTCTTTCCTAATAATCTGTAACTGGATATTGACAGTGCACTACCTAGAAACAGCCAAATCTCTCTTTTATACAAGAATTAAATCTTAAATTAAAGAGAACATGCTCTTTTCCCTTAAATAGAACTTGAAAAATTATGTCTGTATATTTCATGTGTCAAACTCTCATTAAGAAAAGATGTAAACAAATTTTAAAAATCTGGTTGTTTCAAGCCATAAATATGCAATTAAACCTTTTGTTACAAGCAGGAATATGATGCGTGTAGGTGAGTAAAGCAAAATGGGTGGCCTGTTGGTATACATAATACAGCAAAACCCAAAGAGGCTCTGTGTTGATTTGAGCTGTGTTATTACTGAATCACAAGTCTGGTTTTTCCTTTAAGTAAACATACATTGACAACACATGTAATGCATCCTCATAATTACTGCAGCTATATACTGAGTAAAGTATTTCATCTTTCCTTAGGAACAGCAGATTCACAATAGACAAAGGCTTATGAATGTCCATCAGGAAGAGATAAATAACATGAATGAAGATAAGAACAGGTTAGAAACAAAAGCTTTAGTCCAGGTATAAGCAAGAGGAATTGCTCATGAGCAAGGAGACCAACCCACAATCACACTCTTCTCTGAAACTCGTTTCCATGGTTTTGCAACTTCATCGTTGACTTAAGAGCCTACTAAGCTAATAAATAACTGAGCAAAAATAGAAAGCCTGTATTAAAAATGGTCGAGTGTCTTACCTTCATTGTTTTCCAGAACTGCCTTCTCACCCTCCAGTTTGGTTTTACCATATAAATTCAGGGGATTTGGCACATCAGTCTCTTTATATGGAGGGCTTGTTCCATCAAATACATAGTCTGTGCTAATGTAGATCAGAAATGCTCTAACTCCAGCTAGGAAGAAAATATTCATAGATAATTTATATTAATTCATGCCTTCTTTGAAATCCTACTAGACCCTTAAATCTCCCAAGGATCTCATCCTCCATGCACATTCATTCCTGCTGCTCTGTCTGTTCCCTGATCCTTCACAGAGCTGTGCACACTACTCTTATGGCAAACAGATCAACAGCACACTGATGCCAGAAGTGACTTTAACACTTGCACTGTTTGTACTGATGCCCCTGTATAAATAGATGCAGGATTTGAACCAGACACCAAATCCATGAGATGATCTCCTTACCTGCCTCCTTTGCTAAGTTTGCTGAAGCAGCCACATTGAGCTGAGAAGCAGCATCTGGTTGACCTTCTACAACATCTGGCCTTCTCTCAGCAGCACAGTGCACTATAACATGAGGCTGGAAATTAAAGACTAATTTTAAACAACCAACATGTCAAGAGATGGCAGTTGCACCCTAACTCTAGTGATGACACCCCTCAGGCAAAATTAAGTAATAAAAATTGTTATTTTTAATTCTGGCATTCTAAGGAACACCTTTCCCTTAGTATCTCTTCAAAAAGAAAAAAAACATGCTGTTTTAAGATAAGAAAAATACTTGTCATTAATTGTGAAATTATGGTCCTCAGTAGCATCAATCTTACAGCAACTTTGAAGCTGTGAGGATTTTTTTCTTTTTAACTCTGTATAGTAAAATATATATTAACATAAAATAGATTTCTCATACACACAAGGCTACTAAAATTTTTAGGTAAGCTATTTACACATGGCTTACTTGATTTTTGTAGATTATTAAGATGATATTTACTATTTTATAGAATAGTGGATTGTATATTTCAGGTTTTACATATTCCTCTTGGCACTCAGACTGAAAAAACAGTGAACACTGCACACTACACAGAGTTACTGCTGTTGTATTTAAACACTCCTCCACTTCCCCAGAACTGCATAGTGACACTTTGCTGTGTCAATAACTCAAAAGTACCTTTTCCTTTGCAGTGTGCTGCAGGTACAGCTGTGCTGTGGTGAGCACAGCAAAGGCCAGAGCTGTCTGTACCCACAGAGCAAACCTCTGCTCTGGGTGGGGCAGAGCACAGCCCTTTGTCAGAGCTGTGCCCAAGCACCAGCCCCACTCACAGACCAGAACTCAGCAGCACTATCAGCTGACCAGTGCACACATAAAGTGCCCCTCCCATCCAATTTATACTCCAGAAACTTACCTGAAAATCATGGATGATGTCATGAACTGCAATAGAGTCCAGAAGATTAACATGTTCAAATCTGGGCTGAGCTCTCCTGTATCCACAGCCAACTGTGTTCCAGTTGTTTTCATTGAATTCTTTAAACACAGCTCTGCCAAGAAGTCCCGTAGCACCAGTGATCAAAACTCGCCTGCTGGGAACGTCAACATCTTCCTAGGGAAATGACAACAGGAAAAGTTTTGTTTCTACTCTAATTTTGTGGTGTTTTTTCTTTAAAAGTATGCAAAACTACAGTCAAAGGCTACTGTATTACAAAAAGATTCTCCTGAGTCTTTTGGAGTGCCTCATTCAACACCAACATCTGGCAGGACTGCAGCCAGTCAACTATTTAACCACATAGTCAAAGGTAATAAAAACAAAACTTCAATGACAAACTCATTTACTTCTACAACAATCCAAACCACTAGTGAAGACAGAATTTTAAGTTCATTCAAAAGCTGATAACTTTGTGCAATCTGAAAGGAAAGAATTAACTTCTTTAGAAAACAGACCCAAAAGATTTAACACATAGGGTCCAAATCCTTCAACAAATAACTCTGGATAGACTGTGCCTGTTAAAAGGTACAGCAATACAACATAACTTACTGCAGTGATTAAAATATTGAATTCTATTATCAAAGAGAAGAGTAATTAATTGCTGTTCAACACAATAGTCTAATAGTAAGTAAAACCAAGATATGGATCTCTTGTCAATTTTACAAAATGCATCTGGAAGCAATTTGACAATTTCAGCTCTCAATCTATACAACAGACTAAAGCTGTACTTCAGCTCCTGCTCCCTTTGGTACTTGGGACAGCTATGAACATCAGCACACGAACTTCATCCCACCTCTCACTAAAACATCAGGTTTTCAACACAGCAAACACAAGATCCATGTCTGTTTCTGCAATCTTTATTTCCCTTTAAGGCTTTCCTTCTGTATCTGCCATGAATAAACGCAAAAACCACCTGCTAAAAACAAAAACGAAAGCATATCTTTACCATGCCTGTGCAGAAAAAAACTTTGTGTGCAGAACCCACAGATCTTGGATTTCCTGACCAAAGGACAATTTGTGACAAATTACTATAATTCTGTACATAACAGAATGCTTTCTGCTATGCAATCTCAATAGCCCTGTAATTTCTAAGCATTGTACCAGCCTGGTGCTTTTTGACTGCAGCCCAGGAAGGCACAGCAATCACTCCCACTCAGTGTCTTTCACCCATAAAGTTACAAAGCTTTTGTTCCATAAGGGCATATGCAGAAGGCACGATGGAAATGCCTACCCAAAACAATTGTTTCAAGTTCCCAGCACAGGGCAGGAATTTTTCTCAACTCTAAATCTCCAGATGAAAGCTTTATTCCCATTAGTACTAGATGAAAATTAATAATTTACATCTGGACAGTTGCCTGAAAATGACAGACTACAGCAAGTGACATTTCAAAAAGTTACTTTTATCCTTAAACACTACCTGAAAACACAAGCTGGTTTACCATTTTTAAGGCTGCCCAAGCCTCTCTGAACAGCATGAACAAGAACATGCAATTACTATTTTCTTCTTCTACTCCTCTTAGCAAAGTCTGCACAGTGTCACAGGATCTATAATCAGAGTTCCACAGCCAGAGGTGCTCACTAACAAACATCCAACACTTGCTGCAGAACAAAGTCAAAACGTTCTCTAAAAAGATCAAAGGATCACCGAATATCTTCCGTAAGTAGGAAGTGACCAACCCAAAACCAAGTGTCATTTACAAAACCTGATGTTTTAGAACCTCATTCATCTCAGTTTGTTTATTTTACATATCGTGAGGAGGATGTTACATCAGCAGCACAGCGTGAACGGGACACAAACACAGCTTTCACCAAGCACAGCCTGCATGCTACTGCTGCTGTCTGCAAGACTAATCGATTCCAGTCACCTGTTTCTGAAAGAGCAAGACAAATGATAGATGGCTCTCATGTATCCAACACCAACTAATTACCAGTCTGAACCTCTTCTTGACAAAAGTTTTAACATTCTGGTGATAAAAAACCTGAACAGATGAACTCTTTCCCTGTATGCTGCCTTGCTCCTTCCCAGGACATCTCCTAGCTGCAGCAGCATTTCTGTGGTCCTCTACCACTACCACAACATACAATTATGAGGTTTGAGGTTTACAATAAACCATGCCATTTATTGTTATCTGGTGTCCATATTAGCCAAGAACAACAAAAAGTATTGTGTTTAGAAGTCTCATAAACAAGTCACAGCATTATCAGACTTAAAAACAGCATTTATGAGACACCAGATCACTTTGCAGACGCTACCAAAATCTAAAATAACGGTATAATTTATAAAAAGAACAAAACATGATGCATTTCAACTTGAAAACGACAAACAAGTACTTTCACAGTTCTTCATAAAGCTTTTCAAGCTTTACATTTTTATTTAGAAAAACATGAAGAACTGAAAACACCAATTTTAAGGAATGGCCACCAAAACCCGGAAGCCACTGGTGTAAAAGATTCGCAACACAATCCGATGGATCCAAGTCACTACAGGGAAGGGAACGTGAGACGGAGCTCTCTCAGCCCCGACATGCCCTGCAGCCGCAGAAAGCAAAAGGC